GCATTTATCCATTTTCGAAGGAAAGGAAGAGAAATGCTTTGACGTCTGGTAGTTAGCAGTTAAAATTAATTTTGAAAAAGAGAAGATGGGAGATAAAATCCCCAGAAATATCCCGTCACATTTTGTGAATTTTTCAGTCATAACAAACATTTCTGATTTAGCCGGCTTGAAACTGAGGAAAAACGGAACAAAAACGAATCAGTTGGTCGGTTTATTTTGGATCATTAAAATCTCTTCAAGATCTCTCTAATTCACTTGACGTTCAAGAAGCTCGATTAAACTTGCATCTGCATTTTCTGCAAATTTCAAGTAGAAGTCGTAATAACGTGTGACCAATCATTGGTCACACGTCTTATACTTTGGCTTTGGTCTACTAAGTGATCTCAAAACGCCTTCAATTCAAATCACAAGCAACTTATTTAACCTGGATACAACCGCTGCTTGCATACTTAAATGTTTGAAGGCATTCTGACGAACCGCTTCTTCGCAGTGTTTGCCTGTGCCTTTATTTTGATTTCATTCGTGTTTTTGAACGAAAATGCATACCACTTATGTTCCTCTTGTCTTGCTGTGAAACATTGATGAAAAATTAAAATAATGAATGAAAAAAGAGAAAGAAACAATAGAACGTAACCTTGACGTGGATTTTCGTCACAAAATTTCGCTTACATTGAAAAAAGATTTGCTGGCGTAAGGTCATGAAAAGTAAAAACACATCGCATGATTTCCCACCCAATTCAATCCCTCAGTAAAAACCAAGCGGTTGAACAATATTTTCGGACAAAACTCGATTGACACAATCAGAGGCTTTAAACAAATTTTACGTCTTGTCAAAATTAACGTGAAACTAATTTTCTTAAACGGAAATTTGGATCGTGTAGGATGCATTTATATAAAGAGTGGGGCTACTGCAGGATCCACTTCCGATTGGCTAAACGATCTTTGGCTTCAAGGAGCAGGGTCCAAAAAATGGTCGACGCTCCATGTAGATGACTCAAAAGTGCGGTTTTATTTGCTAGTATTGTAGTGAAATCTACTCACAACACAATTTCAGACGTATTTACACAGTTTCAAACCCAATTTTCTGCATTACGTTACCTTATAACTTGAACTTCTAAAATGAAAAGATTGGTGGGAGGTGCAGCAGGTGAATAGGCGATTAACTTCGAAGATTGGAAACAACTCCGCTTTCATCTCGGCGGGCCCATGATATGACAAAAGGACAGACAGATAATAAAGTTAGTAACGTTTTTTGTGGTTTTTGGTCAACTCATTCCCGGAATCTTATCCTACATTTCCTCCATCATTCCGTTTGTTCACTGTTGTGTCCTCAGTTCTTTCAGTATCTTTGCAACCTGGGACCAAATTAGCGCTCAGGGGCCCGGGTTGCTGGCGGGTATAAGGACCCGCCCATTGCGGGGTGTATACTTCGTAAATTGAAGGCGATTCAAGTTCCCAATAAAATAAATTGTCTCAGATGCTCTCACTTTGGAGCCTAGGGCTCCATATCCCCTGAAATCCTAATTTCAGGACCTCATCGAAGCCTCCAAATCCCCTAGACGTCAATAAGGACCCCCTCAAAGAATTGATTGGGCTATTCCTAGAGAAAGGAATAATTAAAAATTATTACGAAAAACAACCGTTCCAGGGGGCTCGTGGGGCCAAGCCATCACACGGAGAAAAAAATCTCGTGCGTGGGACCCGAAGTTGAGGTCATTATATGGATCTCTGAAGTTTTCGGGTCACGTATCTAAGACTTGAAGTCGAGCTGCCGAAGTTCGGGTCAGACAACTGAAGTACTTCGATACATACCGAAGGGTTCAGGTCACACATCTGAAGTACTCCGGTGCATACCGAAGTGCCGATGTCTGACCCGACCTTCAGCAGCTCGTCATCAAGTTTTCGGATGCGTGATCAGAAAATTTCAGAGATCCATATGACCTCAACTTCGGGTTCCATGCACGAAGTTTCTTTCTCCGTGTGCAAATACCGGTGAAAGTGTAATATTTTCGCCCGTTTGTGACAGCCTTGAAGCCTAAAACCAAGAGCCGATCGGAAATGGATTCCACATTCCATTTCAGAGTTACCGCCATTTTTTCTTTTCCCAAGGAGAGTCCAGTCCATGAACCACGAGACTCAGTGGCCATACTCTCCCCACGATGGCGTGGCCAGGAGATAAACGAGACACGCAACTGAAGGAGGAGCAACTTTGACGGAAACTGAAGGACCAATCATAATGTGTCTATTGATGACGTCATCCAGCGCCTGCTTCGTAAAGATAGTGAAGTGTGTAGCGCAAGGGCGAGGCATGAAAAAGCCCCAGCCTCCCTTCGCGATGAGCGCTTTTAACGAGACGAGGCAACTAATCACGCCTCACGCGGCGTGGCGCACGATAACGAGCGACTCTGACTCCGAGTCCTAAGAACGGAATCGGGAAGACGAGAAAAAAAGCCTAACTGAACTTTCCCATGAGCCCCGGACGGCATTCGGATGCCTGCAGAACAGGGCTCGTCTCGAAATGCAGACACGCGTTTTTCGACGGCAAAGCGACGATATGTGAGAAACACGCCGAAACACCGCGGTAGTGGCGAGCGGACGTGAGAAAATGGACCAACATATCATGACCATTATGCATTTATCTCTCGCTTTTCGACCTGCGAGTGGAGCTAATGGTCCCAACTGATCCGCACAAAGGCGAAGCCGTGAGACGTGCCTCACATATATGGGACCAATAAAAAAGAGTTACAATAAGCGAGTGTAAAATCCTGCATAATGAATTGACCGATAAACGGTCAAAAGTCTCTGGCTCGTCTAACCTTTAGTTTCTCTAAAGCCCATCGAGACGCTTCGAAATTTCCTCCGAGGTTCGGTGCAGAAATCCGGGACCTTTGCAAGATTTGGATAGGTCACAAGGTGCACGATGGCTGATCATGATAGGATGTAAATGTTTAAATAATTCTGGAATAAATGGAAATGCTATGATGGACTGCTGAAAAATCGCTCTGATTTTTTTTTATAGAATTCGATTGGTCGCATTGGTGGATCCAGCAAATTGGTAAAATTGTTTTTCCCCATTTAAACCTATGGAAATGTATCGATTCTTAAAGGGTCCAGGTGCTCCGACGAGAATCGATCATTTAACATAGGTTTAAATGGGGGAAATCCGGTGTTGCCAAATCGCTGGATCCGCCTCTGGTTGGTCGTGCGCAGGGGCGGTTTCGCCAGGGGTGTTAGGGTGCTTCAGCACCCCGGAATTTCTAACGAGAGGTTCACAGGGCTCTGACGGGTTTCCTTTGGGGGCTCCCGAAACTCAATTCCTTGTTTCTTTTATGTACTTAAATTGTATCCTCCAAAATATCCTCCGCGCTGGGCGACAGTATCACTTCGATGCATCGCAAATTGCATATCTGCTGAACTGAAGGAAACTCAGTTTCTCACTTAAGTTTTACTAGGTTACGCTTACAGCACGAACAAAAACAAAAATAAACAAACAAAGACAATACTTTAGTTATCAGATATTAGCTCAGAAAAGTTGAGGTAACACGACATAATAATGAGAGAGTTTTGAAAATGTCATTTCAAATGGTTTGATAGTAGATTGCGAGTTTCTTTCCCATAATCTTTTCCCTTTCCCTATGCTGTCCCTATCTCATGCTGTCTCTATTCCCTATCCCAGGGCCGGATTAAGGGGGTGACCAAATGGGCCGCGGCCCATGGCGGCAAAATGTAGGAGGCGGCAAATTTTGCAATCTTTTTGAATGTAGGTATCAAAAAAAGAGAGAAAAATCGGATTCAGAAAATAAGTTACAAACGAGAAAAGGCGACAAAATATCTCATTTCCTGAGAATGAAATAATAGTAATTTCAAATTTTGTCGTCTTTCGGTGATACAAGAGACAACACCTTTAATTAGTTGAGTTAAGAAAGAAACCGAACACGCAATTTGACCTGGAACGAAGCGGTGCGGCGGTCGGCATGAAACGCATAGCGCCTACAAGACTGCATGAATACTTCACGCATTGCGCCAACCAGTGTGGTCAGTTGGTCAGCAGCGGTCGGCGTGAAACGCATAGCGCCTACAAGACTGCATGAATACTTCACGCATTGCGCCAACACAGCGCAGCGGCGGAAGCAAAAATTATTAACCACATTTATGTTTGTTCTTTCATAATTTTTTCGTTCGTTTTTTATAAATGGGAGGCCTTGTCCAAACAGGGATGGGTTATCAGAACTAAACTTTTGTCAGTGTTGACAGGGCTTTCACAAAAAATGTGCCCAACAAGAGTAAACGCGTCTCATACACCCCTCCCCCACCGGCACGTTCACTTGAAGGTTTTTATAGATCATATTCAACCGATCACACAGGTGAGATTATATTGATATCGATTGGTTCAATACGTAACCACAGCCTCAAACGTCAATTTAGAAATCTGAGGTAACGGGTCTTAAGTGATCGAATTTTTATTCTCTCGAGTACCAAATGGCAATGAAAAGTGAAATTGTTAGGAATTTTATCATTTTCAGCTTTTCCGAATGTAATCCTAAAATTTTTGTTTGAGGTTATGTTCTCTTGATTGAACCAAACGATACATCGAACCTTTGTCGAATACGATCTATTGATGTTTCAAAACGAATGAGAAGGGGGCGGAAAAATACAGGCGGCCCATGGGCAGCAAGTAGGCAAATCCGGCCCTGCTGATGGCGGCTTTTATATTGATCTGCCACCAAAATTAAATTTAACCATCTCTTTCTTTGAACAATTTTAGGGACAGGAGCTGGGTACGCAACCTTGCACAACTCCGAGAATAATACATGGATTAATTGATTCAACTTGGGTGCAACGAAAGATTCAGAGGGCACACTAATAGAGAATGCCAGTCAGTGAAAAAAAAGAGAGACAAAAAACGATCATGTAGACATTCATCTCTGTTTAATTCGTAAAATATAGGTAGCTTTGAAAAATTTTCTTGCGGCACACCTCTTAATAATAAAAAGTGAACATTTAAAATGCGTTGGTATTTTTACATTGGTATTGCTTGTGAAAAAAAGGTAGACTTACATAAATTAGTAAATACTCACACAAGTACAAATAAGAATGATCTAGCACATAATGAAGAGAGAAAATCTATACTGAAGGTCTTATGTCTTATTGAAAGAGAAGTATAATGTTTATCCTACAGGGTGTAAAATGACCAATTTTGAAAATTATTCATTGGTTCAATCTTTCATTTTTTCTTTCAAAAAGAATACGCTGTTGTGTTTGTTAACTTGTTGTGTTTTGTACTTGGATTATTTTATTTTGAATGTTCTGTTTTCCACTATTTCGACCTTTAAAATAAAATAAGAGGCTTGAAAAAATATTCAAAGTAAAAATTGACGGAGTGATCAAACTGAAAACTCAATATAAAAGTACATAATTCTAATGAGAGTAAAAGAGTAATAATTCTTAGTTATGGGTGTAAATATTTGGTTTCCTGAATGACTTCACAAATAGAAATTCACAGCCAAAAAAAAGATTAAAAAAGATAATATACATGTGAATAAAGAGAAAATATTTTGGGTATAAATATTTGAGTGTATACTAAATTTTTGGTGCAAACAAGGAGAATAATTACCCACCAGAAACATTATTTTGATTATCTTAGAGAGCTAGTGAATTGGACTACTATTGAATTTCATTGGTTCCACGTATCAGACTAATAACAAGACAAATACACTAGCATGCAGGCTTCATAAAAATTTCACCCAAAGAAGTACGTTTTTTACAAAATGGGTTTAGGTGGAAAAAAAAACTTAGAAAACATTTCATTCCAAAAAGTCCAATAATTCATCAGTTTGTCCATTCGCTTAGTTCAAAGAAATCATGAGAAAAAACCAACAGTGAAACTTATCTTATAAACTAGCAGTCTGGAAGCAGATTCCAAAATTATTACTTACAATTTTTCAAAAAGACAAAACTAGAATACCTACTTAGCTGTCTAATGAATTATTATAACAAATAAAGGGGCAAACCAAAAACATTGAAATTATGAAATTCATGAAAAAAAAAAATGGCACCTCAGTCTGACAGAAAATAAAAACCAATTGCAACTGCGGCATACTTACCTGAACAATTTAGTCTGTCTGAGCAGTATCACAGTCATTCTCATCTGCTATCACAGGGGATTCAGAGGGAATATTTGGTCTTTCTGAATTTTCAGTGTCGGTGCCAGGGAGTGGTTCATATGGTTCTAAGCCCCTGAAAGAAGTTATGATCCCCAATTAATATTCAAGATAACAACCTGGACTCATAAATGGAACACATGGACAATTTGAAAAATTAACTTAAACATGGCAATCTGCAGCCGGATTGTTGAAACTTTAACTGGCTATGTTGGTACGATGAGACAAGACATAGTCCCATCTGCACCGTGTAATATATCGATTTTCGATTCTTGTCGTGCCGGCATTAATTTCAACATTTGGGTACCTACAGACGCTTGAATATATATGAAACATATTTATGAAATGAACGAAAAAATTATGAAAGAACAAACATAAATGTGGTTTAATAATGTTAATCTCCGCCGCCGCGCTGACCACACTGTGTTTGCGCTGTGTATGCGCAATGCGCTAAGTATTCCTACAGTCTTGTATGCGCTATGCGTTTCGCACTGACCGCTGCTGCACGCACTGTGTTTGACGCAATGCGTGAAGTATTCATGCAGTCTTGTAGGCGCTATGCGTTTTACGCCGTGCCGCCGCCCGCTGCTGACCGCAGCGACCGCACTGTCTTTGACGCAGTGCGTGAAGTATTCATGCAGTCTTGTAGGCGCTAATATGTGTTACATGCCGACCGCCGCGCCGCGGGTTTCTCCTTTTCATTTCAAGTTCTCGTCATAACTGCTCTCTGCGCCGCGACGTACCAGGCCAAATTTTGCGTTCGGTTTCTCTCTTAGTCTTAACTCGACTAATTGAAAGTGCTGTCTATTGTATCACAGAAAGACGACAAAATTGGAGATATACTTTCAGGAAATGAGAGATTTTGGCACCGTTTCTAGTTTGTATTTTTTTTCTGAATCCGATTTTTCCTTATAGCTACATTAAAAAAAAATTGCAAAATTTGTCGCCATGGGCCGCGGCCTATGTGGCCACCCCCTAAATCCGGCCCTAATTCCAATGGAATCTCCAGAGATGAAAAAGATGATGTGGGGCAAAAATCTACTAAAGTTAAGTATTTTCAAGCGTCCGTATAAACCATGAATAGGTCAATTTTTCAAATTGTAAATGTGCATTCTCTATCCAACATAAAATGTTGATGAGGTCACAAATATTAAGGTGCTTATGCTCTAACCCTGTCTGGTGATCCAAGATTAAAAATCTATAAAACTACCAAGAAATTGTGGATTCAAGCAACAAAGAAATTCAGAAAATTAACATTAAAAATTCTGATAGAAAAGAAATAAAAGATTATGGCATCACTACTTCGACCGAAAATCATGCATGAAGATCAATCATGCATGTATAAGTACAAATGATGCTTAGAATGCATGCAAAAGAGTTAATTCCATGACAATGCATGCTGCTAAATCATGCATCAATACTACTGAATTACAGAAGTACCTTAAAAGAGGATGAAAGAAATCTATTCAAACTCAATGACACAGCTCAACTGAGGAAATCCTTGGAAATGGTCGGCTGTTGATTACCCAAGCAGCACAAGATGCAGTAAATTGGAATTACATAGTAAAATTATTGTGTTTGTATAGGAGTGTTACGTATTTTGTCAAATCACCAATTGAAGGGGCTCTCTTAAATTGAAATTTATAGCAATAAAATTTAAACAAGTTGCACATTTCTTTTTTATTGCACATTGCCTACCTTTCCAACACATGAGATTAATTCCATTCACCGTTTAAAATCAACATCTATTCATAAAATATGATGTAAAAATATTGAAATTTCATTGTGGAAATTGAAATTTTATTATTTCAATATTTTTGTTGCATTTTGCTACTTGGGTGCTGTAAAAGATAATTCTTTAACCACGGAAAAATGCGGATACTAATTGAAATCAAAATCTGATAAATTCATTGCCAAGTGGAGAGACTCTTCATTCTGGCAAGAGAAAAGTGTGCAAAAAATAATAGTATCGACTGGTTTAGTGTCTATAGCAATTAGTACATTACTATTCAATTATGCTGCTTCTATGAAGCTTGGCAAAATGACCAATATTAAAACAGCCCAGTATCTTTGGGAGATTTCATTAAATGTATTGAATAACAAATGACATAGGCACTGAATCAGTCTAGGTACTTGGAGGGAAAACAAGGGGACCATTTTCTTGCATTTACCAATTCAGCTACACTAAGATCTTGACAAGATTTTTAGATAAAAGGATGCTTAAAATGGTTCCCATACATAAACATGTGATTAAATCCAAAAACCTTCAGTGTTGACCAAAAAAAATTGTCTGTTTCTAGAAGTTAAGCCTCAGCATCAGAAGGATGTAAAAAAAAAACACACAGCAAGGAAGGCCCACTGAAAAAACACAAATGTTGGTTCTTCAAGAGACAATTCATGAATAATCTCCAGGTACATGAGTCTGTTCATATGTACAGGGGGCGTTCAATAAGTCTTTGCATGTCTCTTGCTATTTCTGCAAAAATCGTCCAATTTAAAAAAAAAAAAAACCGTAGATATTTGGAGAGTTTAGAATATACCTTGGAGAGGAGTGACTTTCGTGTGTGTGTACGCAGAATATACCTGACAAATATGCACCAACTAAAACTCAATATTTTCATTTGCAACTGATTGCAGGGACTTTGGACTAATTGACATAGTTTCTGCTCACTAATTCTCATCCCGCCCAAAATCAGCAAAGTTTTTCTGCCTTTACAAGCAACATTTTCCTAGAAAACTGAGTTATAAATATGCAACTTAAATTAAATCAATATTTTATGACGTGAAGCACTTCTTCCATTATTTAGCACAGTTTCTTTTCAGTTTGAGGCACGTTTGATGGTGAGAAACAAACTTTTCGATGCCAAACGCATTGGAACTCTGTAGCTGTCTGTCAAGGAATAGATGGGTACAGCTCATTCCATAACCTCCGCTGATTTCAGATGCGCTTTGTTAAATTACATTCTCTAATTCAAGATGGAATTCTTACAAAGTCAACTTTTTAAATGCATTAAAAACTCTTTCTTGGATTGGGTCCTAACAGCCTTGTTGTGACATTTGAGCGCCATGTCGTGGAAAGAATTTCAGGGGCATCTTTATGCATTGACTTATTTTTTGTTTCAGGGTAAAACTTTTTCGAAGGTACTTACCAGTGTAATTTATTTCTTCTTAGATTGTAACCAATTAACAAACAAGCATTCTTTAAAGAATTAGGATACCAAAATTTTACAAAAAATGTTACTATTAGCTTATTTGTCAAGATCGCTATAGTTGCTGGAATCCCTGGATGGAACAAAAATTAAAAATTAGAGCAGAAATAATTTTATGATAGTAAACTAAGAATCATTTTATATGCCATAAAGCATAAATAACATACAATGATGCCTCATATTTGTGACTACTTCATTAGAAAATATTTGTCTATGTTCTGAGGTGCCCTCAAAAAAAAAAAAAAAAAAAAAAAAAAAAAAAAAAAATTGGTGAGATTGAGAACGATGAGCAAGTCATTTCTGTGTGACAATATTTAGTTGCTGTTTAAATATGACGAGTAATCAATTTTGGAACAACACAAAAAATAGTAATTAGCTCCAAGTATAGTAGAGTGCAATATTCTGTGCCGAAAAATAGCAGAATTTATAGGTATTCCCTGGACTTAATGGATTAACGATGCTTCATGCAAAAGATTGTTAAAATCGACTGTCGCCAGCAACCAACTCATAAAGAGTTTCAGCAGCTTCTTTGATAGCCCATTTTTGCAAGATACATTTTTGCCAGAAGTTTCCATTCTATCATAAGATTTATTTAATCAAAGGATTTCTCCCTTGAATTTTCATTTAAACTTCTACTACATCCACAGAACAATTTTGTTGGAAATCTCATCGGCGGTCTGACGACAAGTCACTTCAAAAAATCTATATCTCGACAAGTTTATGACAGAATAAGCTTAAACAGGTCTTATTAGAACCACTAGTTTGCCACCAAGAGCGCAGCTTAACTCTCTCATCGATATCTTTTTTAAGTCCTTCTATAACTGCAATCATACATTGCACTACGTTCATTTGGGACACGTACATGAAAAGAAGATTCCTTCCCTGCTGAGAGAATTTTTTATGTTTCTTTTCTCCTAACCATGCATGAGTGTGAATAATTCTCTTTTTAACCTACATTTAGACTTTTTGAGGCTTTTTTGCTCGAAAGCTACGTTTCTTGCATCACCTCCTTTGAGAAGGACAAGAATTTGCTTTTGTAAAATTCAATAAAGAGTTACCGTGTAAAAAAAAAACCTTCCAAAATTTCCTGCAGATAGATAGCAAAATTCTACTGACCAACAGTAGAACTGTAAGATGTTAGTTTATCGTTTCAAAAAAAATTTCTGACTTGCTCATGTAGGTAAGTCACTATAATATTTCATTTGGCAAGACTTTTCAGAACTAAAATTGAGCAGTAAAACCATGCACATTTCAATTAAGCATAGCCAAGCTTAGATAATTTCAGGAGTAAAGAAAGTGTTGCTCATAAAACAAAAATGAAAAGAAGGAGAGGAGAGGAACTTAAATGGTGTAATTTAAAGCAAACCAAGAAAGCATGACGGAAAAACATGATCGGCACTATTTAAAAAGATATGAGGAGAAATACAGTGAAATTAAATTCATTACAATGATTATTTTTAGCTTGAAAGTTTGTCATGTAAACAAAATACCTGGAGAACCACTGTCTCTCGTTGCTTTATATCTGACTCTGGGCTCAACCAAAGCACATGCTCACCGTTCAAAATTTAAAACTGGAATGTTCTTGGAAAGCTTGATTTCAATTGCGTAGACAAATATAGATACTTTTTGAGAAAAAGACTGACAATTAACCTGCGCTCAGCTCTAAACTTGGGGCTGTTCATACAATATGTAATGTTCTAAGGTGGACGGAGAATGAGGACAGCATAATGCCATTTGATTTTTGCGTGATGAAGGATAAGGGACCTACATTACAAAAACGGTACGAAGGGAAGGTGAAGGTTAAAAAAGCCGAAATTTAGCACTATGTATTTTAAGAATGGCCTAACTTCCTTCTGGACTTAAACCATTTTTTCCTGGTTTTTCATCATATTAATGAAAATATGAACTTATCAATCTAAGTAAGTTTCCATCATTTTTTTTTTTTTGTCATTTGGTTCCTTTCTTGATTCTCATAAATAAGAAAGAATCCGTGGAAGAATAAAAAATATTTCTAAATTTTCCAGAAACGATACTGATAGGTATTCTGGTCATCAATACCAATCTTAAACATTTAGAGGTACTAAAAGAAATTTATAGAAGGCTACTTAACTTTAAAAATACCACGCAGAAACTTTACGCGGTACTAACACTGTGTCAAAGGAGACCTAGAATAGACTGATTTTGTTTAAATTTTACCATTCATTAAAATAATGCATCAAATATTTTTGAGCTAGCACAGTGTTATCACCTAGAATTACTTGGAAAATGTAACAATTACGTAATAACACTGAACCTTTCAGACATGGAATATTTTCATAGATTGCATCAAGAACTTGAATCTGAGGTGAAGAAAATATCAAGAAAAGAAAAATCTCAATGGATACGGCTAACTGTTTTTACTAATGGACAAAACTATAGGGAAACAAAAAGGAGATAGCACCACTCAAATAAACCACGGAAAGTGACCTGACAACAAGATCACAAAACGCGTTTTTGGAAAAATGTGTGACACACTTGCAGATTTTCCCTGGTTGGGTAAATCAGAGGACACAATATTTTAAAGGAGAGAAAAGAAAGAAAAATTTAAAAAAAAAAAAAGCAGATCAGGAGCAGCGCATAATGTAAGCTGTGTTGCTACAAGTTTTTTTTGTCTATTTTTAACAACTCAGTTGTGCTGGTCGCAGAATTATGGTTTAATTGTTTAAGCTTATACATTGGCAAAAAATTATTAACTTCGCTTTAACACCAAATTTCTAAATGTATATCTAATATTAACAGAGATATCACTCATCAAATAACATGACCTTTACCATCATCCACCGCAGTCGTAAATACCATAGTTTCTTCAATTTTTGTTTCATCACAAAGTGATACACATATTTGGACTGGTTGTCTGATGTAAAACTAGCCTGATTGAAGAGACCCTGATATGCACCACTGTTATGGATGTATTATATGCTGCCTTTTTTGATGGGCAATATCTCCCTTAATATTACATGTAGAAATTTGACGTTCCGGCAGATTGTGTTAATTTAAGAACTATAATCTTTACAGCTAACTAAATTTATAAGCTTAAACCATCAATACACGACTCTGAGACAGATCCATAACTTATCATCTTTTAGAATTGAGCATTGTAGATTCGCATTATGATTAGGAAGACACTCAAATATGTATCAAAATATAATACTTTGAGGGAATTCTGGTATATTCAACCTGCATTTTAAAGCAACTTCGGAGATTGAGAAGGGATTGACTAAATCAGTTTCATGTCATTTTTAGGGTGAAGTCCAGCGGGAACTAATGGAGGGATGACGAGGTGACAAAAACTATTAATGTAGTGTCAGGAAAACAGTCACGTCTATATTAGAATGTTTCAAAGCCTCATCTTTTATTTAATTATTTGGAAGAAAACCAGCATACAAAAATCTCGAAAATTTTTGCTATTTTTTTTGCTCGTAGGAAGGTTATTTTGACAACATTTTTAATGGAAATGTTGTTGGGTTTTCTCTCAGTAAATTGAAATAAGAGCTGAGATTTTGAAACTTTGTAACAAGAATGTTCAGCTGAACGACTGTTCAACTTAAATCCATCCAATTTTTGTCATGATTTTTAACTTCATGACTTTTGCTCATGCTTAGAGTTCACATTGCTTCAAAATGTATGCACTTAGGACTTGATAGACTAATCCTCCATAGATCCATCTTCAGCAAATCTTACTAGGGATTTTTTTTTAGTAAGTAGGTTCTAATAAGCCATGGATAACGTACTAAGAAGATGTAAAGCATATTCTGCGACTGATTACTTGTAGAAACACCAAAAAAAAATTAAAACAATGCAAGAAAGAGATGTTCCTGGGGAAACTATGAGGCTTGATTCATAATACACGCTTCTTATTCTGGAGTAGTATACAAAAAGCAACACATTTGACTCTCTGTTTTCTCTTTTATATGAAAAAACGCAAAAACAAAAAAATAAATATATTTTTACAATATTTAAAATAACACTGAACAACAATCATTGAAAATTGAAAATAAAACTGCGCAGTTGCTAAGCTAAACACTTTTAAGTCTTAAAACAAAGCTGCTAAAGAGGGCATAGTTTACATTGCTTAAAGAACAATCTATGATTGAAGCTTAAAACATAAAATAGATCTTGGATAGCAAACTATATTCTACTAGAGAGATCGTATTCTTTCACGCCTTGTGTCCTGTGGAAAATAATTTTAAAACAACATACATTAAAAAGGGAAACTCAAACAGAATTTGGCAGTGCTACAGTAAAAGCAGACAACAATTTTAATTCATTGAATGAACACAAAGAGGAACATGAATACGAAGCCTGGAAAGAGAAGGCAGTTAGTAATCTTGTCTGAACCTGTCAAAAAAATGTATAATGTCAGTGATCAATAGTAAGATTAAAATGAGGTCTTCAGTAAACAAAGTGTGTTAGACACAGGTACATTTTGAGAGTTAGCAAGACTTTTTCTCTTGAGAATCATTAGAAATGCAAGTAAGAGCAACACATTTTAGGGGCTCTATAAAGTATGTTATTTTACATCCTTTAAAATTGCTCTTTCTGATATTTAAATCATAAAAAAATGTATATTTTACGGACTATTTTCATATCGGAGTTCTCTCATATAGACTCTTGTGTAGTGGTGAAAGTTTAAATACTTGAAGCAAATCAACAATTCCTGCAGTAAGATAAATTTTGCTGGGATTTATTTTAACTGTAAAAGATCGCAAAATGTACATATGACAAAAGGCTTGGTCCTGTAAAAAAAAGTAATTCAGTTAAACACACCAATCATTTTTTGTTACAAACATATACATTTTTCAAATCTGTTTCCAACTGAGTACGGAGGTGCAAAAAGCTCAAAAAACTGATTTGTATTTCTTGCAATCCAGCTACTTTGCCCCCAGCAAAAGTTAAGAGTTGTCTCACTTTTTCTAATTTTTGGAACTTCCTTCGAGAAGTTATGATTTTGCCTCACAACCTAAGATTCGCCTCACATCAGCTGCTATACGAGTATGATGGTACTGGACATATTTTGCACTCCTGCTTGCAACAATGCATTGAAATTAAATGTAATCGTACATCTTTAAAGGCGCGACTCTGCTAGGCGTTCGTAGGCGAATTTCGGCGCACTAATGCGTCGACCAGCGGACCGTCCTATACGAATAGCACGCAACACCGCTCTCCGAGCAGGTCTTCCAATTCACCGCCAAAATTCGGCTAGCAAACGTCCAGCAGAATCGCGCCTTGAATGTTGATACATTCTAAATCCCTATCGGTATATTTAAAAATATACTTCTTCCAATTCATTTCTCTCAATACTTTAAAAAATAGTGAGAGGAATGCTTGACATTGAACAAATACCTGCAATTGAAACTTCCAGACACAATTTTCTTCAGTGTCATTATTTTTACTGCTGACAGCAAGTTACAACATTCAACAGAAATAAAGAGCTGAAAATTATGAAAATAGTTAAAGGATCTGGATCTAGGTCTGGATTCGAGCTGCAAAATAAAATTAATGCTGAAAAGAAATTAATACGAGAGGAAAAATTAGTAAAAATCAAACACAAAAAATTCAATGAATAAGAACAAAAAAAAACATGAAAAAAATTCAAACATGTAAATTATTGAAACATAAAAAAAAGTGGCACGGATAAAATAAAAAGAACTTTTGTGAAACCCACTGCTCACAGCTACATATAAAATTAATTCACATTATTAGAAAGTGACAATACAAAATACAGATAAGCTAACTACATAGTTTCAAAACAGGCAGAAGAAAAAAGTGAAATAAATATATAATTTGTAGCAAAAAGATAAAGAAACAGAATAGTACAAGGCTGTCAATACTAACCGCGAGGATGACACTAAAAGTAAGATGACACATCATTTCAAGATTCTCGTACCCCCAGTGAATGCAAATATATTTCCTCGCTGCTAGCTTGCCATCACCTAACAGCAAGGTTTCAACCTTACAGCCTTTATGCAAGGAGACTACAAGCTAAAGGAACCCCAAGGGAATTTGTCTACTCAGGATCTCATAAGAAAATTCTCCAACTTGCACAACTTACATTATTAACGCTCAGTTATTTTAAAAAATTAGGACATTCAAAACTACCATTCTCATATTAAGAAAATATTTTGACTGAAGAAACTGCACCCTTGAATTTTATGGAGATTGTTTGTAATGGTATTCGAAAATTTCTAGAGATTGTTTGTTGTTATTATGTACTAAAATAGTTCATTGATTTAGAAAAGCTGTTCAATGTCTCACACAAAGAACAGAGTTTGGAGTGACTGTGGTCTCCTAGTGAAATCCTCGTGGAAAATTTTATTTCGAGCTCAAGCATGAAAATAAGAAGGAACTCACTCCAGCCATGAAATGTAAGCAACATGAAAGCAACAAAATTGTCCGATCTAAAAGACGGAGACACACTCTCAATAAAATTGACACTCACCTGTACAAAACATAATGTTGAATCATGAAAAATATGTCGAACACGACAGAGAAAAATCCTAATCCAAATTTCGTTGGATCACCGAAAATAGATTTCCAATCATCTGAAATATAAAGAAAAAAAAGTCACAAATTTTATCCTGCTTTTAGGGACCAATTCATATTCAAGCAATTTTATGTCACAGAATGTCATTACAGCATGAATGATGGTAAGAAATGCTTGGAATATGATAATTCTGCTTAGAATTTGAAACTACTGATGAGCATCTCCACATCGATACGTATATGATTGGATCAAAGCCATCAAGAGACAAACCAAGAAAAAAAGAAGAAAAAAACAGGAACAAAATTTGAAAAGTCGATTACCCAAGAAGCAATGATCGTGATAAGTTGCGATTTGATCGGAGAATGTATCGCAATTTTGGCAATATTGATTTCTTGCAATATTATCGGATAAAAATTTGCAATAAATTGTGTTCACATCACATAAATTGGCAATAATATCGCGATTTTATTGACAGCAATTTGTCGCCATATTATCAAACAAAAAATCCTAATAAATTGGGATAAAATTTCAATTTTGTCAAACGCGGTTTTATAGAGATAAAATCGCTCATATGTGGATGATCCTAGCGATTTTGTCACCAGAATATCTTGGGAAAATCGGAACTTAATTTAAAAACATCGCGATTTTTCCGTTGAAAGATGCCACTTGGGTAAAGAGGGTAATCTTAATTAAAATATCTCAGTTGCAGAAACAATTTTGGGTTTATTTTTACCAACAAAAACTTCATAAAATTGTTCCTCAAAACTTGGGCACTTCACAGACTGCTCGTTACTTATCTGGTAAGTTTTGTGCGCTTTTGATAGCTTTGAAATGTAGTGACATTAATCAAAAATGTCTTCCTTGTAGCGATCTTCTCCCTGCATTTACCGACTATTTTAAATTAAGTAAATCATCATCTACTAACCAGTATGAGAAAAAAATCTGTACAGATGATAGAGTATGGTGTAAGAAATTTTTTACTCTTTATGAGCTTAGTGCTACTGAGATACAAAATCTTGGCGTAAAGCTTACAACGCTAAATTGAAAAAATTCTATGACAATCTAATAAAACTATCAACACTATTTGTGCTAACTAAAGCAATATTTTCGTCAGCCAATCCTCAACCAGTTTTTTCAAAATATTTTCTTGATGGTCTTCCTTTTTCTACCTGAAGATTTTGTTCTTACGAGGACTTGTTTCATAAACTACCGAGCAATTCTAAATTGCCTCTAAGCCTTCCTTTAAATTGTACTAATGAACTGAGCTCAGAAAGTTCAAGTAAAACAAACCATAATTGTATCCATTGATGAGCATTTGACCCATGCTCAATGTCCCTCCTGTAAAGTCCAGTATGATATTTCCAATGCTCCAGCCCATTGTACTTTTCCGCTGATAGTTCATGTAAGCCTGCGACCAAAAATACAAAGTTATTACAGTTTTTCATTAATTTTACAAAATTTACCATTTTCATGATGAAGAAAATTATACCTTGGAAATTTTTTTATGATACAACTGATATTAATTGACTTACATTGTTGTTTCAAAATAGGTGATCAAGCCTGACAGGCCACTATATTTTCTAATAGACTGCTAGGCATTATGAAATCTGACTGACTGCAGGTTTTCTTTGTTAAATCTACCCCTGAGAATCCAATGAGATTCTTTTAGAGCCTCTAAAATTCCTGCTAGGGGCTGTTTTTTAAGATCACCCTAAACGTATAATATATGTCAATCATTGGATACAGACACTCGTTAGCTTAGAAAAAATTTTGTAAAACCAAACCAAAGTGTGCTCAAGAGTATTTCACAAAAAAGTTTTAACCTAGCACTATTTATGGTAAAGAGAACAGAATTTTTGCAATTTTCTGATGTATTTACAGATTTTGGAATGCATGAATGTAGCCATATGCAGGTTAGATTGTACAAAAAATTAAATGACAACTCTCAAATGTTCATATAGTATTTTTCCTCAGCACCGCAGCATCAAACCAGATCACCTATACTGATCTTGTTCTCTATCTGAATACTCGTCACCATTCAAATCAGCACAGATAACTTATTTTCATTGTGTTGCTGGTTTTGACCAATCAACAAGCAATGATTAAGAAATGAAACATAACTGATACTTAAAAATACATAGGCTGTCCCAAAAGTACCCGGACTGGTTCTGTAACTTCAAAACTACGATAGATGAAGACATGATCTTGGTCTCATTTTCAAGATCAACTCAATACCTATCGATTAAGATCAAGATCAGAGCAATCGAATAAAAATTGACCGTGTTATGGCAATTTGAAATCAGCGAGTAAAGTTTACCCCTACAGTTTTTAAGGAAGATTTTTCGATTACCAGGATTCAAAAAGTTAATCTTCGTTTCCGCTTTCCTCCAAATCTTCCATAACTTCCTTTTGCTTTTCAAAGTACCATCCATTAAACCAGAAGCAACTTACCCATGCGCTCTTGCCACTTCTCTAACATTGTTTTCCTTAATTCTTCCCCTGGGATAGAGTTGAAAAAGTTCTGAACTGCATTCTGGATTTCGGTCCTCGATTCGAATCTTTGCCCATGAAGCTCCTTCTTGAGCGCAGGAAACACTCAAAAATCACAAGGAGCCAAGTCAAGGCAATACGGAGGATGCAAGATTGTTTCAACTTCATTTTTACTCATAAATTCAGGTATGAAGTTCGAGTTGTGAGGCCGCGCGTTGTCTTGATGGAGCATCCACAAAGCTTTCAAGTGCGGCATTCCACCCATTCAGGGTGCGTCCGGTCGGTCAGGGATTTTTGCCCTTTGGACTCTTGGCCCAAAGGCAGGCGATGACAACTGGCAACAGCCGACCACCACAGGGCAATGTTGCCAGGTTGTTCTAGCATTACATGGAAGTTTTTGGTCAAAAACACAATACCAGATCATTCTTTTAGATATCAATATCGTCGATGAAGAATCTTCCTTAAAAACCGTAGGGGTAAACTTTACTCACTGATTTCAAATTGCCATAACTCAGTCAATTTTTATCCGATTGCTCTGATCTTGGTCTTAATCGATAGGTATTGAGTTGATCTTTAGAATAAAACCAAGAACATGTCTATATCTATCGTGGTTTTGAAGTTACAGAACCAGTCCAAGTCCCTTTCAGGACAGCCTATGTACATACTGAGACCTCTTGATACAATCACTAACCTGAGGAATGTATTTGATGAGGGTGATGGATAGTTTGATGTATGAGCAAATATACAGAAAATCGAGCCATGTGAGCTTACTGTAAGCAGTAAAACAGGCACTGACTACCAGGATAACAGCATAAATAGACACTAAGCCTAAGGCTGTATAAGATACTCGTTGGGTTCGCCTCTGTAACAAAAATTAAAGCACATTAGATTCTTTCATAGCAGCAAGAAAATAAGCATTTTTGTTACAGTGTCGATTATTTTGGTGAGGATTTATAACAATGCTTTAATTTACAGCAGAGCTTGGACAAGGGGAAAGGACATCAAGCCAAAATTATTTTGAAACAGAGGTAAAAAATTTAAAAATTAAGAGTATGTTGTTTAGGAGCTTCTTCCACATGATAAGCTTGGGGCTCTCACAATGCCGCTCGAAACTGGTCTTTTTTTTAAATCTTTTGACTTTTGAATACTTTTCTTACCATCCCATAATTTTTCGATATTAAAAATTTGAGCTTTATAAATTATGTGAATGTGTTTACAGGTTTAGGATTGAAAAAACTTACAAATTCCTTCCTCCTTTAACAATGTTGAGTTCTTTGCAATTCAC